CCCAAGGAAGCCCAATACTTGTGGAAGCAGTGGAAGACTCATACATGCCAGCAGACGTGAAGATTGGAAGGCCACTTGTGGCAGGTCATCAAGTAGTACCCATAAAAGTGGCCAATTTTTCTAAATGTCAGCAGACACTTAATGAAGGGGCATTGTTGGGTGTGTGCCAAGAGGTAGAGCCAGTCAATGTTAAGACAAGAAATACGACCATAAAGAAAGCACATCCTCTCCCAGAACATTTAACTGACCTCCATAAGAAGAGTATAGTCCATTTATCATCATCACACGCTCTTCAGGTTATGGAACTTTTAGCGAATTATGCAGACGTCTTTTCAAAAGGAGATCGTGACCTCAGCTGCACAGACCTCGTGGAGCACAGAATAAACACAGGCAATCACCATTCACTAAAGATCCCTTCAAGGAGAATAGCCCTGGCAAAGTGGCAAGATATGGAGAAGGTCATGGATGGCATAATTAAGGAAGGGATAGTCGAGAAATCAGATAGTCCCTGGTCAGCTCCCGTCGTGTTAGTCCAGAAGAAAGATGGGACCCAACGTTGCTGTGTGTACTTCAGGACTCTTAACAGTATAACCGAAAAAGACTCATATCCACTGCCAAAATTTGATAATACTCTTGATGCCCTAAGTGGAGCAAGGTGATTTTCAACTCTGGACTTAAAGTCGGGTTTCCATCAAGTGAAAATGGCTGAAGCAGACAAACCTAAGATTGCATTTAGTTATGGCCAACGTCTCTGGCAATACCGTGTGATGCCATTCGGGCTCAGTAATGCTCCAGCAACATTTGAGAGGCTGATGGAACGAGTATTGGAAGGCCTACAATGGAGGATAGCCCTAGTGTATTCAATCGTTTGAAAGCAGCAAACCTCAAACTCCATACCAAGAAACGCCACTTGTTCCAGAAAGAGGTGCTTTACTTGGGTCCCATTGTAAGTGAGCATGGTGTGTAAATTGATCCTGACAAGGTGAAAGCAGTGTGTGATTGGCCAACACCAGACAATGAGAGAGAGTTAAGAAGTTTCTTGAGACTTTGTACTTATTACCCGAAGTTTGTGAAGGACTTTGCAACTATAGCTGCTCCACTACATGATTTAACAAAAATGGGACAGAAGTTTGAATGGATACAGTTTCTTGCCAGCATGCTTTTAAGGCATTAAAATAAAAATTGGCCTCTGCTCCACTTTTTAAGCTTTCAAATCCCTCACTGCCATACATATTGGATTGTGATGCTAGTAATGTCGGAATTGGAGGAGTGTTGTCTCAGAAAGTGGGCGAAAACGAACATGTGGTGGCCTACTTCATTAGGTTCCTGAGTAGAGCAAAAAGGAACTACTGTGTAACACGAAGGGAACTCCTTGCTATAGTAAAGAGTCTGATATATTTCCATCCTAGGTTTACCATCAGAACAGACCATGCTGCATTACACTCTTTAAGATAATTAAAGAACCCAGAGAAACAACTGGCATGTTGGATCGGAAAGATAGACCAGCGTAATTATAATATTGAATACAGAGAAGGAAAATATCATGGAAATGCCGATGGATTGAGCCAAAAACCCTGCAAAAATGACTGCAGACGTTACTGCAAAA